CTCCTCTTGGCCGCGCCCCTGAACTCTGTCAACTCTGTGGCTGGGCTTTGTGGCTGGGCTCTGTGTCCAGGCCTTGTCCTCCTGAACTCTGTCAACTCTGAGAAAGAAACGAAAGAAAGAAAGAACGAACGAACGAAAGAAAGAAAGAAAGACAGCAGGGCGCGCGCGCGCCGTGTGCTTTGGACGGCGCGCTCTGGCGCGCGCTGAAATACGCCCCAGAAAGGCGCGCTCAGGGCGCGCTCTGCAGAGAGAAAGACAGAGAAAGAGAAACTTAAAGAGAACGTGTGAGAGAGAGAGAGAGAGAAAGAGAGAGAGAGAGAGAGAAAGAGAGAGAGAGAGAGGTAGAAAGAGCAGGGCGAGCGCCGCGCGCGCGCACGCGCTCGCGCGCGCTCGTGTGCTATGGACGGCTTACTGGGCTCTTGTCCTCCTCTTGTCCTCTGCGCTGGGCTCTGTAGCTGGGCCTTGTCCTCCTCTTGTCCTTGTCTTGGCCGCGCCCCTGATCTCTGTGGCTGGGCTCTGTGGCCCGGCTCTGTGTCCGGGTCTTGTCCTCCTCTTGTCCTTGTCTTGGCCGCGCCCCTGAACTCTGTGGCTGGTCTCTGTGGCCCGGCTTACTGGAGAGAAGTGTGGCTGAACAAATAGCGGTGTCAATGCCGACAAAAATCCATTGATGAAGCAGTTTGCTCTTGGGGTGAAAGTGGGGCGTACCAAGAAATCGATGTTTGACTAATATTGGTCTAAACGAATCGTTTTGAAACTGTTTGGGGTCTATGCTGGTATATTTTCCCAAACAGGTTACTGTTGGGGTTCTCTCTTGAGGAAAAAAGAAGCTGGCCGCAGTCTCTGACCGCGCCGGTGAACGCTGTGTCCGGGTGTTGTCCTCCTGTTGTCCTCTCCTTGTCCTTCTTCCAGCTGAGCACGGCTGCTAGCCCGTCTCTAGTCCTTGTCTTTTGTTGTATTCTTGTTGTCCTCTCCGTGCCCTCTTCTTGTCCTCTTCTTGTCCTCCTGTTGTCCCCTTGTTGTCCTTCTGCTGGTGTCCAGATCACAGAATGCGCGCGAAGCACCGGCCCCAAAGGGTCCAATGCGAGAAAGCAAGTGCACACGCGCAAGGGTTGTGTGGCACGCAGGGGGAAAACGCCAGCCGTCAAGCGCGAAGACCGCAGTACCGCAGCATGGCCACGTGGCAGCCACGCTACAAAGCAGAGGCACTAGAAAGACAACTGACAACTCCAGAAAGCAACCCCAGAAGCCGATGTCCTCTCCTTGTCCTCCTGTTGTCCTCCTGTTGTCCTCATATTGCGGGGTTCTTTGGGTAGGAAACAAGAAGCTGGCCGCAGTGTCAGGCCACGCCGGCGAGCCCTGTCCGGATGTCCTCCTCTCTCCTCTTGTCACAATCTTTTTTGGTCCTGTCCTCCTGTCTTCTTCTATTGCCTTCTTGTTGTCCGTCTTCAGGTGTTCATTGGCCGCGGCTGCCAGCCTATCTCCGGTCGTACCGTTCCATTACACCATGAGTATTATGAATAATGAAGTTATAGGATGCTGCTATAGGATGCTATAGGCCGGAAACATTTGTCTTCCGTAGTTTGGCTTCACATGTGGATGTCCTCTTTCAAGCTTGGAGGGCAAACGCATCATCCCGAATAGTCAGCCACTCACTCCACAGGACATGCACCCTTAAAATTTGGCTACCCACCTTGGCGATGTTGATACTTTTCGATCGACCGCACCTTGCACGAGGTGTGTAGCCTATTCCAAGAAGCTTTCACCAGATTCACAGTGAGATTGAATGACCCAAGTGCCAGCCAGGGTTCGTAGGACTCAAGATTTGGATCCATTCCATGTTTGGCAGAAGTTTGGTCGCCAGGAAGCTTTTCGATCTAGACTCCTTCATGATTTTGGTGACTTTCATTGCGGCCTCTGGACATTCGCTTGTCGAAATCTATGACTTGTATGTGACCTTGCAGCTGAAATTTCTCTTCAATCTTTTGGACTCTGTTGAACACATGCAATGATTCTGTGTGCATTTGGGCCCTGTTGATGTATGCACTTACATGATGAACCCCAGGCAGAGAGGTTGTACACACAGTGGATGCTGCAGATTCTCCACTCGGCTTTCAACTTGGGAATTGCGGTTTTTACCTTTGCATGTTGGAAGCAGCCGCCCTTGCGTGGGTGGACTCGGCGTTGCTTGTGGCCTCCCAGCCATACATTGCAGACATTTCTAAACAAAGGAAGATGCTTGTTGTTCTGCTTTGTTTGATTCGCATGGACCACAATAAACATCACTCCGTCGCTCGACTCTTGAGATTTCAAGGCTAATTCTGGCAGTCGTTGCAGAAGACTTCCTCCACTTTCAGCTGGTTGAGGACTGCGAATTTGCGTCGGCAATGCCAGGCGAAGTTGCAAAAGTTCCCTTCACTCTTGCGAGTTGCCCAGAGTTCCGGAAAGTTGAGGCTGCTGTTCCTTTCCTTCGCCACATGATGTGAATGCAGAGGGAGGACTGTTACTGAGGAAATGTCATTTTGGGCCGATCCTGGTGTTCTGCAAAAGCATGGCAGAGAGTGCGTGCATCGTAGCACAAATTAGCATAGGGGGCAAGAAAGCAGGACATACCCTTTGGAAAATGTGTGCTTTGGACCATCGCTGTGCATACCAGAATCCTGCTTCAAGTTTCGATCCTTGGTCAGAATCCTTCAACTAGGGGCTCCTGGCCTTACTACTAGGAGCAAGGACGCTACTAATAGGGGCTCCTGGCCATACTACTAGGAGCAAGGACGCTACTGGGGGCTCCTGGCATTACTACTAGGAACAAGGACGCTACTAGGAGCAAAGGGCATCGCTACTAGGAGCAAAATTTGATGAAGGCTTGCTGGTCCGGTCGAAACCGACGCTGAGGACAACCACTCCTATTTCTGCAAACTTTCGGAAGAGTTCTTTCACCATGGCCATGGGCACCAGAGCCATGGGAGCCATGGTCACGAGAGCGAAAGTGAAGCGCATGGAGAAGCACATCAGTCACAGTCTGACACGCATGGTCTTTGGGTGTTTTGCCTGACTGGAAAGTTTTGTCTCACCAGTCTATTACTGTACTAATCTGTACTACATGCTACATACAATACTGATGCTCAAGCCTGAATACTGTTGGCCCTCTGAACAGCAAACAAGGCAGATCAGAGGGGTGCCGTTTTGCCGATCAGAGCAAGTTGCACCGAGCTGAAAAGACGTTGGTTGGCTTTTCCAGATGAAGCTTGGCTGAGCCACGCAGAGTTAAGGATACCAAACAGCTGGCTACTTGCTGTGCGGGTTCTTTGTCTCCACAAGTTTGTGCCCTTGTGCCAAGGAGTTAAAAATTGAAGAGAGCAGTATCTTGGATAAAGCAATTAGGATTACTGTAATTTGTATTGCCCTTCTTGTTTGGCCGTGCTTTTCGTCAGAATCGGACAATTGCAGCCAGAACTTTCTTTGGTGGTTTATTTCGTTCAGGTGAGCACGAAGAGTCTTTCTCAGCAGTCTTCAAGCAGTTGAAACTCATCGGGAATGCGGGCAACATTGAGTTTAAATTTGCGGTCATTGGCATTCTCTTGAAGGTCGAATCCAAAAGCTCATTCTCATTCTCATTCTCACGCATTGAGATGTCATTGTTATCTCAGTTATCTCACTGTGGCTCTAGATGGCCAGAAATTTATCTTGGGAGTACATCATGCAGTTGCGAAGGAGTCAGGAATAGCATGTTTCGAGTTTAGACTGATGAAGGTGATCCTCTTTGTGGAGCATCCCAACAGCGATCGGATCCTGGAATTAAGACGCCAGGTCCTGAGATCTTGATTTGTTTACAATTTTACTGCAGTAGGATGTCATTTGCTGTTTCTGTATTGCCATGCCTTGGCTGTAGCCGAGACCAATCAACTGGGCATTGATGAACAGTTCCATCCGCTAGCATGTACAAAATCTGGCAGTTTCATGCCACTTTGCTTGGCAGAAGAGCTGCCAAATGCAGAGTTCCTTCTCCAACAAGGTCTTCCCCTTTTTGTGGAGGACTTGAGTTGGCAAAGAGGAAGGCTTGAACACTTTGGTTTGTATGCTTGGAAATCTTGGAGTCACTAAGTCTGTTTTCACACACTAACACGTGCACTGGAGCAGTTCTGCACACATTGCCAGACAGTTGCTGATAGAGGGAATTCAGGTTTAGGACACGCCCCTCTGTGACCATGTCCATGTTTGCGTCCTGAAAGCGCACTCCATGATCAGCCAAGGTGTACATTACGCAACTGCGGCGAAATGCAATGGGAGTAGGTCTGGTCTTCGAGGCAAATCTTCACTCCAAGGAGCTGCGGAGATGTTCGTCCGAATTCAAACGCTGCAAAGCCAGCTAGAAACAGCGCTTCAGCATTCTGCACATCAGGTTTCCAGGACAGAGCACTATTACATACTTGTGCTACATGCCGATGCATTCTGCATTATCTGTTTTCCTCGTGAAGGAGCATCCCAGCATTTGGGTGTTGCAGGGCGTGGCCATGATGCTGAATGACGACTCCTAAGCCCAGAGCATAGTTGAGCGCTCCAGAAATTTCTTGGTCGAGATTTTCAGATTTGTTTCTGTGTGGCCACTTCAGGTGCTGCCCTGACGGCTAGCAATGTCAAACTCGAACAGCCGACTCTTACAACAATAGCTTCAATGCATTTCTTGCTTAACAGCGCCACTTGAACAGCTTTGCGAGATATTGCGGGGATAGGCCCACGTTACATGTTGCAAAACAAACATGCATGCTTGCCTGCGCACGCCAATGAATTGTTACTCAAGCCTGAAACTGGCTTGTTTGCGGATGCAGCGCGGATGGTGGCAGTCCCACGTTGAGATCGACGTCTCACCAGGGAGCAGAAACTCATTATACGTCCTTCTCCAAGATTTGCAGTCGCTGGAGGGCAGTTGTTTGAATAGAAGTTTGCAGAGCTGCCCTGAGTGAATGGAGCCTGTCTCACGTGTAGCTGCCATTGTTTCCGCAGCTATGGAGATTTAGCCGGGCCATGCAGAGCCATGCCATGCAGAGTGCAAGGATGAAACTATGACACTGCCCCCGCTCTGTGTGGTAAAGCCGGCGGAGCGATGCATGACCGCATTGATGACTGGTGCGCAGAGAAACAAGCATCTCCTGGCAATTGAAGGTGACGGAAGCATGCATTTTGAGTCCTGTCTTGTGATGTTAAGCACCATGAATACAGCTGCAGCAATAGCAATACTGCCGCCCTGACCTACAATTCAAGCCGGAGGAATATCGAGCTTCTTTCATTGGATCCAAGGATGTGAGTGAAATTGAGCCTCATTGGATCTCTATTGATTTCACCTTATCTACATTTTTCAACACAGTAGTCACTCAGTAGTCTATCTCACAGAACGCCACCTCAGCCGATGCAGTTCATCAAAGACCTAATTTCTCCGATCAGCAAGGTTGTCGCCGCTTGCGTCTTCTCTTGATCCGCAATCTCGTCCCAGCTTGGGGGGGTGGATAACATGATTGATATCGGGGCAACCCAGACGAAGTTGTCCATGCTGATTACCAGTTCAACTTTGCGCGACGAAGCTGTTTCTGTTACTCTCTCCAGACTGTCATGATGTCTATTCTCACCTCGTCTACCAACAGTGTCAAGTCAGTTCGTTGGATAAAGGATATTGGCATATATTGGCCATTGGCCTGGCGGCACCATGGACATTCGCTCTCGACGGTTTCGCCACGTTTTGCCACATGTCTGCCATGTCCGGGTCTTCGTCCGAACAGCGCTCAGAGCAGTGCCTGTCCACAGAAAACCCACCTTGCCTTGCACCTGAAGTGGGGCTGTCAACAAGAGTGCCTTGGTTGAAAAGCATATAGTTAAACAAACAGAAAGAAAGAAAAACGGACAACAGGGAGCATCATATATAGTAATGGGTGCAACAGAAGGAAAGAAACGATCAGAACGGGTGGAAGATTGGAAGAACCTCCTGTTGAAACCCAGCTCATCCCAGCTCTATTAGCACTCTGCCCTTGAAATGCACACGTTGTCCTTGTGAGCTCTCAGGCTGCAATAACGACATTGACGCAAAATGTGCTGGGATCCGGGGTACTGGCTCTTCCATATGCGATGTGCACAGCTGGAGGACTTGGAGGCTTAGCACGTCTTTTTTCGTCGATCGCCACTCGCCACTTGTCACGTAATTCACTTGACTCACTTGATCAGGCTTGACATTGCTAGTATTTGTCTACCTTCTCTCCATCTTCACCATGTCAGTCTTGGTGCTTCTGAGCAACACCTTGGGGACCTTCAGTGGATGGCCTAGTTCAGAAATTGTTTGGAGAAGGTGCCTTTGTTGCTTCCTCCAGGGCGCGCTCGTAGTGCTTATTTTGGAGGTTGCTCAGGTTACTACGGAGCTGCCCGCCAGACAGCTGGACAAAAAACCGCGTTGTGGGCCGAGCAGCTTGCCTGACATCGAACTGCTTCTTTTGACTTCTAGGTTGGAAGCAACATATCCATCGCTACTAGGATGTGTTGTTTTGAACAAAGTTGGGATGTTGCTTTTGTACTGTGATAGTCATGGCATGTCATAGCATAGCAAGATCTGATCTCAGGATATGGGTCTTGTGCACCAACATCGGTTTGTGTATCAGTGACTGGCCTGCAAGTCCTTAGACCAGCAACTTTTGTAGTCTAAGAGCCACCAGTCTACACAGCTTTTGGTTGGTGGAAGGCGAGGGATTCTAGAACTTTGCTTGGTGCCTTTGGAGGCTACGTCATCGTTCTTGGGGACTTTTCCTTTGCACTCGCAGAAAAATTTGGCTGGGCCCATTGGCTGTCCAAGCAAAAGTGCATGGCTGCGTTGGTGGTCTTCATTTGTTGGCCTTTGTCATGCGCTCCAACCCTCGGGTTCCTCAGGTGGGGAACTCTTGTCGCGACTGAAGGTTCAGAGTTTCAGACTATATAGAGCACAAATTGCTGTTCCTCTGGTAGTGTTGGACTACATCGGATGAGGCATGAAAGTACAAGTGGGGTGTTTTGTGGTATTGTGAACCATGCCTTGCTGATTTACACCGTTCCAGATGGATGAGCTCTTTGGGACTGGCGAGTGTCTTATTCTGCGCTCTAGTCTCGGCGGTGCGCTACTGGGATGGATCTTACTTCGATGCCTCAGGCTTGACGATCTCATGCAAGATTGAACTGCATCGTCATGATAAGTGGTTAAGGAATCCAACATCGAGCCAGTGAAAGGATACTAAGGGAAGACATTGAGACTAGTGACTAGATTTGATGGATGCTATCAGTCTCCTTTGATTGGCCCTGGAGCACAGTACTTCTCCAGGTCCTCCGCACCTCTCCAGCTTTGAGCCAAGTACCTTTGGGCATTGCTTCCCGATACTTGTTGGCCGCTCTTCTGCCTAAAGACTCCAGCTGCTTGGGGTTGGCGGACAGATGACTTTTGCTTTTCCACCAATGGACCAATGACTATATACCTAAAGACTGAAATCATGGCCCTCGGTCCTCGACCATAGATGAAAAGAATCACTATGCATCATGAGTCCTTGTTTTCTATCTTTGCTCTGACGAGCCAAGGTGCTTTTGGAGCTCATACCAATATTCCCCTTCTGTACAAAGAGGTTGCTCCTGGTGCCAAGACCCCGAACTGGGGTAGAACTCAGGCAGGCAAAGTATTCATTTGGATTGAGGTGAAAGTGTGTACAGTAGAGCAGAAGAACAAATTATGGCTGTTGCACAACCAAGACGTGGACAATGAGGGCTGGATATGCCCTGAGAGAAATTGGATGCACGTGTTTGGTACAGGCGGGACAAGAAGACTTTCGGAAGATGATGAAGGTTGGCTGCTGGAAATCGGAAGTTTCTTGATCCTGTGTGAAGGTGGAACCATCCATTGCAAGTCTGCTCCGTATGTTTCAAGGTCATCACTTGGTCTCTGACCATTGCTTGTATAGTTTATGGCTGTCACGGGCTCAGAGACTGGTAGCGGGAGAGGAAGAAGAAGAGCTACGATTCAAATGAATCTTGTAAGTCATGCTGCAATCCTGTTAGTCCTGTTATGTTCGGAATTGTTCAGGGGTCGGCATGATAGTGTATGCTACTTTTGGCTTGTACCTCAGACCTTGGACAGTGCAAATTTGAACCAGCCAGCCATCGCTACTAGGTTGGAGGCCATCGCTAGTAGGTTGGAGGCCATCCCTAGTAGGTTGGAGGCCATTGCTTTGTTCCTTAGGATCCGAGACGAAGAGCGACTTTTCAGAAAACTTTCGGTCTGATGACCAGCTTCTTGTGGGGCTCTTATGGATCCAGGCACTTGATGTGACCACGGGATTTTGTTCACCAACCCCGTTTGTGCAACTAGATGAGTTGCTGATGTTCACAATTCTCTGGAGACTACAACAGTTCAAGCTGCGCAGTGACTTCTCAGATTTTTGCGGCCTGCACAAGTTGCCTGAGGTGGTGCTTCGCCTGACCATGACATGCGCGTTTGCCGGCCAAGTCTCCGTGTTTACGTCACTACTGCTTTCACAAGGTGTGCAGATTGCAATTATTGTAACCACCTACTTCTTCCCACAATTAAGTGGAATCAAGCGTTGTTTGTGACCTGCAAAACAAAATTTTCATGACATGTTATTTTAGATCGTTTTAAGCTGGAGATCTTGCCTGTGAGATCAGCGATAAAGAAAGAACTATATATCTACAGCAGGTACAGTATTTTCAGATTTCACTTATTCAAGAAAATGGACCAAGCACGTTGGTAGCTCCTGCTTTGGCACATTTGTACATTTTGAAGACACCGAGTTCTAATCATCTAATCCAATGAGTGACGATCATTGATTGATTGCTTGGTTGGTTGATTGGTTTTTTGATTGATTGATCGATCGATTGATCGATGGATTGATTGGTTGATTGATTGATTGACTGACTGACTGACTGACTGACTGACGGACTCTGATTGATTACTTGATTGATGATGATTATTATTATTATGATGATGGTGGTGGTGATGATGATGTCTTTGATCCGTGTTCAGTTCCTTTCTGTATTCGTGTCTTTCAAAACTGTCTCAAGTGCACCTAGGATATGCAGTTCTTTTGCCTTAATGATGATGTCCGCGAGGCCGGGAGTGTCAGATTGCACATGCGTGCGCTCACTTTGTTTGCACATGTGTTTTTTCAGTGATTCACGTTCAGTTGCTGCAGCAAGACAATTATTGTTTCAAGGGATCATTTGTTTGATGAAAAAAAGGGTGTATGACGAGCTTCAATTTGCTGCTGATCAGCTGCGCTCTACTCTTCTTCTTTTGATCCACTTTGCATTTATCAGGGCGGCAGCTTGCAATTTGGTTTTGGAGCCATTGGGGTGCGTGGCAGCCTTAGAAAGCGCAACAAAAGGTGAATCCGCAAAGCAATCATATTTATTTATTGTACAAACTGTTCACCAGCTTGAACCAAATTAGCTATGGCAGTCTGCATTTCCAATCATACAGTTTCAGAGGCCACAACAACAGTGTCGCGCGTGACGGTAGCTACCATCTTGACAGCCATTTGCTTGGGTGCGCCGGAGTCAACATCCTGCAAAGCATGAACTTGTTACTAGTAGCGATGCACTTGTTCCTAGTAGCTTCTTGTTACTACTAGTAAGGCACTTGTTACTAGTAGCGATGCACTTGTTTCTAATAGAGCATTCAATTGTGGCAACAGCTCGCTGGATGTTGGTGCTGATGTAGCACGAGAACATGGGTCAGCAGCTGCTGTGTGACAGGTGTGGCTGCTGTTGCCAAAGAAATCGGCACTGTCTTGGCCTACAACGGCTCAGCCGAGCTGTCGCGTGTTGATGGCCAATAGACATCTTCCAATTTGCTCATCTCAAACTTGCTTGACTTCTTGCAATACTCTTTCCGGCAATCCTGGTGTTGCAAAGTTTGGGATTTGATCTCATCCCATTGTGCTTTCAGATTGTGGTGCAGGTGTTTGCAACACCGGTGTGCTTTGTTGCACCGCCCATGATGTACCTTTGCTTGCCTAGGCGAGAGCAGTTTGGAAACATGCTGAGCCACATAATCCCGAACAGTTCAACTCGAAAAAACACCACAGTGTATGCAGCGTGTGGCATACTCAGGCAGTTCAGAAGAAGACCTTTGAACCTCCTTTGCCTGATCTCTGTGCCTTGTCACAAATTGCATCAAATTGCGCGGTCAAAAAGCCTGTGAAGATGCCAGGCTTTCGCTGGCCTCGCTTTCGGCCTTTTCGGATTCATAGTCGCTTTGCGTTCGTGGTGTTCTCAGACTGGCGATGCATTGTGACTGCACCATTACTGCACTCGTTTACTCAAAGCTTGCTCAGGCAGCCTTCCTGAACTTGCTGAGGCAATTTGAGCAGTTGAAAGTTGAAAGCTTGAAAGTGTCTATTTTCATTTGCCCGCGGGTATTTGATCCAGAACCTGAAAGATTTATGTCTCGGTCCCGAGCTTGCCTTGCTTTCCGTGCAGGATGACTGATGAACACCCTTTCGCCTTGCCAGTTGAAAATGCAGTGTCTTTTGACCACAACAGGTCGAGGGATGCTGAGATGTCGCAGTCTTCTTCTTTGTCACAACCAGTAGTTGTTCTTGGAGTATTGTAAGACGGTGGGCAATTCCTGGCCTGACCTTCATTCTGGCTATAAAGTAGACAAGTCCAAAACGACAAAATCGAGTGTCAAGACTGTATATATATATATAAATAGAAATGTCACCTCAAAAGACCAAACGGATCCAAAAGGGGCCTTAGAGTTCGAAAAAGTATCAGTAGCAGCGTCACACTGTTCTGTGTTCAGCACGGCAATGGCAGCAGTATTGTAGATCCAGCAGACGAAGCTCTCACAAAGCGTGAGGCTCTTAGTGGGCGCGTCAGAGAAAGCTTGTATAAATGCAGTGGCAGCAGCGTTCCAGCGATTATGGTGGTTTTGGTGAAATGGACGCTTGTAGGAACCCATCATGGATGCTGCTGACGTCATCGAGAAAGAGGCAGAACCAAGAACGCTTCTTCTAGCGACGGATGTGTTGTCTTGGACATACCTACCCCCTTCTTAACGACCTAGTGCTCGGATGCTTACCTTAGCTCTTTGCCATCATTATATCCGTTTCCAGTAAAACAAGAGCACACATAAAGAGCGGCACAGGCTGATCTAGCGTGGAAATCACGCCAGTTTGACCTCTCCAAGCTTGCCACTTGCATGGCACTTGATTTTTCATTGTTCTTTTTTCAAGTAGCTCTTCAAGTAAGCATCCGTACTGTCAGTGCTTCGAAAGACAAATCCCTTTAAGGAAGTTTGTTTGCATATTGTACTATAGTTATATATATATATATAATTGTCATCATGTGTATACACGCCGTATATGCACATGCATACAAATTATTTTGATTGGTTAGTTCTGCTATTTGGGAGATAGTCCTGTACCCCGTTAGTAAGCTAGCGGTTAGCTAGTGGTAGCGAGTATTCTGGAAGAAGCAGGGTACGCAGAAACTGACTGAGGGTTCGTCTTCAATGTTTACTGTTTACTTCGGATGGTAATGGGCGGTGAGACATTCAAGACCCAAACCTATCACGACACGTCACTACAACTTAATAGGGTTCTTGTTTTCTTATTTTCTTTGGCTCATTTGCTCCACTCAGGCAAAAGATCGTGAGCCCAGCCTTCTTGGTGGATAGCATTGTTTTGAGTTTGTAGTTTAGTTGGATGTCTTTGCAATTCAGGTATTCACTTTGGACCTCTCGGTGCCCTGCCTCGAAAGGTGCTTGTAGGGTTGACGCCAACCCTTTTGCGGGAAGCTGCTGGCAGGAGCCGCCCAGCCAAGATCCTGCCCTCAAGTACGTGACCCGAGCGTAGCCGTCTTAGACGGGCTGAGTCGCAAGTTCACAACTACGCGCCTCGTAGTTTTGCAAAATTGGGGTGTGACATAGGTGCGAGAGGCCTTTGCTACTGCCAGAGGCGCGGCGAGGGCTTGGCCAGTGTGCAGTCTCTCTTTCCCTGGGTTTCCATCTCATACTCATACCGAAGAGACCAAGTGTGGCAAGGTCGGGTCAAAGCCATTCAGTGCAGGCGAATCCAGGCATCAGCAAATTGGAAGGAAAAAGCAAGAAAGCAGAACCCTTTCGCCTCAGACTGTTTGACTCAGACGGTTTCTTGCTGCAGGCAGGCGACACCGCTTGTAGTTAGCACCTCGCCACAACCAAGCCGACCAGGCTGGCCTAATTTGGAGTCAAACAGCTATCGAAGAGGTATATATATATATATAAGCGATTGACTTGAGGATTTGTCCCGTGTTTGCAAGAGGCTCTTCTGCTGTCTCCTCCAAAGTTGAGGAAAAGCCTACTGAAAGGCCTGGCAGGATTCGAGACTATATACAGACATACACCTGAACATGAACAACATGAACAACATGAACATGTTGGAGTCTGGGGGGAGTTACGCTCCTAGTAGCGTGCTTGCTCCTAGTAGTATGGCCAGGAGCCCCTAGTAGCTTCTTGCTCCTAGTAGCGATGCCCTTTGCTCCTAGTAGCATCCTTGCTATTTCAATTCAATGTCTGCATGTAATGCTTGGATTGGCGGTTGACAGAATCTGCGAGCCTCGTGACACCCGAGCCAAGCCCTCAATACTTGCAACGCTTTCCTGCACAGAGCTTGCGGGACCTCGGCACCCCATGAAGCTGTATACACTGGGCCTAATGAGACCGTGTTTGGCCGAGGCTTCGCGTTACCAGAGGTTGATGGATATATACGAACGTGCCTGCGTGGGAGGTAGCAAAGCCGAAAGCCGAGTCTTCTTGTGCCAGATCGTGCCTGCCCAGGACCTCCAGCCAATCGCAATCTTTGAGTGGGCGCCATTGATAGGTATCTTTTTTCCAGCGACGCACTCCAAAACAAATCAAAAGATTGAAGCATCTCTAGACTCTACAAAGCATTGAAATGCATGGCAGCGCTGCATTTTCATTTAAGATGTATCCGAGTCAAGTACGATGGAGGGCACTGATCTTTCCTACAGCTGAGCTGAGGGAGGTGTGCTGATCAGCTTCTGACGCAGAAAAGCATCGACCTTCATTGGATGAAATCAGTCATGGATACCCAATTCTCTGTCGCATTCTGTTTATTCTGTCTTCAGGTCCTCTTGAGCACACTGAGATTTTGTTCTAGTCTATGCAGTACTCAAGAAGCAACTGACCACGTCACACAACGAAGGTTTCAGTGACATTGGATGACTGGACACACACACACACAAATAAAGTTAGACATATCCGTTGCAGTAAGCCACAGAGTCCACAGAGCACAAGTTGACATCCTTTTTTTGGCACTGCCACCATGACATCATGTGGGGCAATCATTCGCCCGAGAACAGAATTAGGGAGCATGGATCCTGATGGCAATAGTCCCAGAACTCTGTGTATGTCCTCAAGCTCGTTTCCAACCTTCCAGGCCAGAATTCACCACAGGAGTAGCGGAGTAAAGTTATATATTGTAGAGCTTCTGCAAGCTGGCGATGCCATAATAGTTGGTGTCGCTGTCCCTGTTTGTTGCTTTTGTTGGTCATTGGTTGATTGCCCGCGCGCGCCAAGAAGACCCCCCACCCTCTACAGCACTTTTGGGGCACCCGTGCAGGCAATGAAACTCTGCAAACAACACGGCATCTACTAGTTTTTGCGTTAGGAATTAGGGGACAAAAATCGACGTGTTTGATCCTCAGCAAGCAAAAGAGCGCCGTATTTACGACCATTTGCCGTGGGATGCAAAAAGCAGTGGTTTTTGCCGTGTTTCTTTTACGTTTGCTTCCAAAAGCGTTCATAATTGCACAGTTTTGAGCACGGTGCTAACAATGATATTTTCACTCAACAATAGCAAAACCACTACGATGTCTTTGCTAACGTCTCAAACTTTGATCCAACATTGGTCAAAAGTCATGCCAAGCTAGCCTCCGGAAGCAGCTCAAAGCCGCTTATTGGGCAAAGGCTGATCTTAGCTTTTCATTACGCAACGCCCTTCAACACCTTGCCTCAACACACCGTGTTTCACACGGACTTCTGCACATTGACACAAAATGATAAAGACAAATAACGACGTAATGCTGATTATGCCGCCTAAGTTGCGTTCCATTATTGGCATTCTGATTTAACACATTGCAAACAGCAACAACCACAATAACACAACCACACAACAACAACCGCAACAATCAACAACCACAAAAAAACAACTCTTCTTCTTCTTCTTCTTCTTCTCACACGCCCACAGGGTTTCGCACCATTCACAGGTTCTCTGACCTGCTGACTCCAAGTGTCTCTGGAGTACCTTCAGCTTAGCTTCAGAGCAAGCAAACTGAACATGCCTAAAGCCAGAATGGGACGATCCGCCAGTCTCATGATCAGTTTCCATGATCCGATCAGGCAAAGTCAAAATCAAATCAGAAGACATTTGTCTCAACACCCTCTCACCCGCGTGCTTCATGCCGATCAGCGGCTGGCGCACTGGAGGTGGCAGCGCAAGGCTCCAGGACATTGGCAACGCGGGAGAGAAGGAGCTGCAGGCGGTGGTCAGCGGCAGCTGTGTCAGCAGGGTCCGCAGCATCTAATGGAAGCCAAGTTGCACAAGTGGGCACACTCGTACTCGATGTCGCCTGGGCAACCCCCCGATTTGGCACGATTTTTGCTGGGTTGCCCAGGTGAGTCTGTCCTGTCGAGCCGGAGCAGGCCTTTGGGGGGAAAACCTCCTCAGCTGACAGGTGAACAGGCTCGTCCACCACCTGGTTCGGGACAGGGCATGGAGTCTTCCTGAGCATCGGGAAAGAAGGAAGTGCCTTCAAGGTCCACCAGGGGGCGCAGCCAGACCAACACGATCCGCTTCTTGTGGTGTCGCCCAATTCATACCAACATGGCGGCTCATCCCGCTTCACGAAAGCAATGAAATGGCCGGAAGTAGCGCTACCCAGATGAATCGCACAAGACACTGTTTGGTGTTCGCTCCTGAGTGTGGCCGTCCGCAAAGAAAGAAAGGGAGGCTCCGTGCTCAATCTCCAGCTGGTGCTCGTGACCTAGGATTCGGGTGAGCATGAGTCTATCCACGTACATGATCGTATATGCATTTCAAAGATCCCATGTGCAGGAAGGCTGAATGCATTGACAATGCGAAAGTCCATGGAGTCAGAAGTTCGTTCAGGGTGGGACATGTGCAATCGATCTCGTACAGACAGTCAAGTGCAATGGGAAATTTCCAAGTGCCAGCTTCATGTCTCATGATTTTCGAGTCTGCAACATAGCGTCGCTCCCAAGTCATGGAAACAGCCTCAGAATTCAATCATGTCAGGAGCTGTGCAATGAACTCCCCAACATCTCTCGGTGCGCATTGCCCCTGCACATCATGAAAGAGGCTGAGAAAAGCTTCAGCCACTGAAACCATTGGTGAGGTTTTCAGTCGGTGCAAAAAGGTCCCATAGCAAAAGAAGGTCGGCTGAGAAGAGCCCACAAGGTGCATAGCAAGCCTGCGTTGGCCCAGCACCAA